GAATATGCCCAATTTTTGGCGAATAATTTTTATGACAGCTCCCTAAAATGATATAGAATTCATGAGCAACTGGGCGAAACGAGATTTAACTGTTTAACCCGCGTATTTATTTCCTTTTTTTTTTTTTTTTTTTCATTAATCTCAGCCAGTAATACATATTATTATTATTTTAGCTTTCTTCCTTTTTTCATGGCTTTGCATGATCGCGACAAACATATTGCTACCTCCATTTTGCTAATTTGGCAACAATTCTACGCAGTTCAAAACGAAGAAATTTTTTCTCATGTGGTTCTTTTATCAATCTCGAAATCTACAGCTCATCGCTGGCAAAAATAATTTAATGGAAAGATACTCGTCAGTTCGAATTCAAAATGTATACTGAGCACAGCCTGTGCTTTCTCATGCATAATTAAATTTATTTTAACACTCCAGTTTGAACTGAAATAATGATCGGTGTTTACTGACGGTGCCATCATTGACAAATACAGACTGAGCTCCGTGTACCCTTGGATATTTATTCTTCCAAATAATGTTCACTGTTGAAAAAGAAAAATAATCTACGAAGTAAAACTCAAAGTTCATGATCCAAACAGCAGATGTTTGAATTGGAGATATAACCTCATTTATTCGAAAATGAATATATATTTTTAAATTTACATGTATACAGAAAATTTGGAGAGATCACCAGATGTTTCTTACCAAACAAATGTAGAATGAACATGTAGCAAAACAAAACTTATAATTGCAGAGCTACCCAGAAAACTCAGAGCTCTAATTTGGAATAGATCTATTGTGTAGTTTTCATTTGGTTCTGTATCCGTGAGATAAAAGCATTTGTCTTATTGTATCAAAATAGAATCTAAAAATTTTCATCTGATAAAATTTCTCTCTGAAACAGATCTCAAATATTTGGTTTCTTTAGATGTCTATTCTTTAAACAGATATTCTTTAACGTGTTTCATATAACTATTTTCAACCATAAAATCATGTCTTAATTAAATGTGTAGCTGATATTTTTCCCCGACAACGCACGCTCCCTTGCTTACTAAGAGTCACATAACGTTTAACAATGAAACCATTTTCGCATTAAGACTCCTAGCGTTGCACAATCTATGACGTCGGAGGATAACAGTCCATGGTACTTGTAAATGTCAAAATTTTGCTAATTTGTATCCAGGAGAAATTGCCATGTTTCCAAATAACAAATCAATTCACGACTGGTTACTTGGGAAACAGAATTAACTGTTTCCAAAGGGACCTTCTGCTAAGTGTTTTATGATACTGATTTGTCACCAATGGGGGCCACAACCAAAATCTGAGTCCATTTAGAAGAATTGAACTCCTAACCCTTCGCAATCCGGTGCTTAACCACTGACTCTCAGAGAACTCGATCGTGAGATACGTCGTTTACAAGCACGTTCTTAGGTGTCAAGCATCGTTGTAATTGTGAGGTCAGCGTTGCCGGAAGGGTCGTATTTGGAAATAGGCAAAGAGAGATCAGGGCGAATATTGAGATCGGCCATAGAGCAGGGAAATCATTTATTCAGACTGAATTCACCACTGTGATGTGAAATTGCAGTGGTTTCTGAATTAATTGCCTTTAGATATTGACGCCAACGCTTCTCAATATAACAATCGTCAAACTAAATATAATTTCAGCAATGAAGAAGCTTGAGATTGCTATCATTTACACCGCCATTATTTTGAGCGTTGTTGGGGAAAACCTTTCATTTGGAAGTCACTTGCGCATTCAAAGAGAAGTCAGGGAGAGGTCTGCTCTTTTTCAAAAGGTGGAAGAAGGTAGGTACCCCTTAAAGGCAGGTATTCCTAATTTTCATAGCTCAGGTATCAAAGTAGGTGATTTCCCCAAATAAGGCGAAAAATGTATTTTTGCTTTTTGAACAAAGAATACTAAGACAACTAACCCAAAAAGGGATGTAGGATTTTTTTTTAAGGTAAAGACGAAAAATATTTTTCAATTGTCATCAATCAACGACTTTTATTTGAGAAGTTCCTCACGCCTGTAATTGAAATTCACAACCGGTTATCCTGCCTCGTAGTGTAATATTACATTCAGATGACGAAGACCAAAGCGCAAACTCTATTAAGAGTTCTCAATCAGGAATCAGATTATCAGATTTCTTTCTAAAATATATGTTTATCTTACATGGAAGGGGAAAAAACCCTAATAAATATTTCTGCCTATTTGCTTCCTAGAAGAAAAGGCAAAATGTCTGTGAGACCAAGCACTTCTGCCCTGAATGATTAAATTCTTTGGCGCTTGATTTACGATTACACGTTGACAAAAAGCGTCCACAAAGGCATAAAAGCGAATTACAAGTTACTTTAGGAATAAATCGAATAAAGGTAGCTAGGGGAAACTCCTCGGCCAGAAAATCTAGCTTATATGTCTATGTTGGTGTGGTTCTGTGATACGAAAAACAATATACTTCAGAAAAGTTTGTTTGGGAAAGCCATTGTAGATCGTCTCTCACTGACATCTGTCAATATTTCACCAAATCTTGACACATGAGGGGATTTTAAAGATCTAATCAATTTCAGAAAATAACTGCTTTATTCTCGGAAACATATACGTAGAACGTTAAATACTAAAAGTTCATATTCGACCACTGTTGCGCGAGTTTATGCCATTTCCGTAATACATGTTGAGTGTAAGAGTGTATGGAGAGATGTTGGAAAGAAGAACTTCATAATTTAGCCTTACCGAGTAGACATCCCTCAGGATATGGTTTTCAAACTCTTTTAACCACAATTGGCATTAATGTCGCAATCTGATTGGCCAATTTGCCAATTTCGATAAGAGTACAGACTACGCTGCTCGCGCCAACGTGTCACACAATGATTTCGCACTGAAAGAAACACGGTTTCATGCATCAAAAGACTCGTATGTAATTTCTGGAACGGAAGCCCTGAACAAGGTTTCAACCTTGGCACTGCCGGGTCTTTATCTGCGATATTAACAACTTCTAAAAGAATCTTATTTTTAATATCCATTGGAAGGGATATTTAACAAGCCGCTCGTTGAGGTCAATAACTGACCACAATTTACACTCTTCATCTTTCTATGAAATGCCGAATTTCTGTTTGAATAGGTGCTCTATTGTACCCACTAACCATACCTTTCTTTAATTACCCTTGTCCCAAACTTTAGGCCGGGAAGGTCCCGTGATATGGTATAGTTAACTTCCTAAGCGATTTGAAAGCTCTTGTTTTGTCTTTCAGATGAAGTTTTGGAAGGGCACGTTATAGCAAAATTCTTTGTTCCATCTGAGCTGGACTGTTTGCATAGATGTGTGTTGTCTGACAATTGCGTGTCATTCAACTATCAGCGGTTGAGTTTCAAATCAACACGACGTACTTGTGAGCTAAACGACGTCACTCTGCTGTCTTCCGGTGAGACACTCGTGAGACGAAATGGATATTCTTATAAAGAGCCGATCGAATTGCCCTACGACGTAAGTAATAGAGTGCATTTGGATCACAAAGTTGAATAACATCTGCGCATGCCTCAAGCACGCCTTTCAATCCATAGCAACAGTATATAATCATCAACAAATACGGCGATTATTTCAAAAATGCTGAAAGCATTCATCCATTGAAACCGCTATTTAGAAAATCTAAAATACCATCGCTAACACCATCCAGTACAAATGTCGACATCACTGTAGCCCAGCTTGACAACATGCATTTTGCAACAGTTCGCAGCCAAATTTCAGCTAATGTGTAAGCATAAAACTATTGTATGCGAATAAATATTTCGTGTCCCTGTGAAGGATAGTCTTAAGCGAATTCTTAAGTTTTTAGATTAACCTCTTTGCTTAACCTCGGAAGAAAATCATACCACTTTGAAATATTTTTAAAAATCCGCCATTTTTATTAAATATTGCTATGGTTTCAAGTTTTAGCTCACGAAAATACCAAGCACAGATCGCTCAGTTTATGGCAATGAAGTGCAAACATTGAATAATATTTGTTGCTCAATGCAAGAGAAACAGAGTAAAAATAATTATTATTTTCTTTTTTTCATTTTTCCTCTGACTTGCATGTTTTAGGGAGATAAACACCAGACAACTAGCAAAGAAAACCGTCAGTTAGAACTGACATCTTCAGCTGAAGGTTAGTTAGACATAACTCCCCAATCGTGACTTTTCTGTACCTTGCTTTGTAAATAATAACAGAACTAAGTACAAAGTGGGCCCTGGTGAGTCAAATATTTATTGTTTATTCGCCAGTTAAACTCATAGAAAACAGAAAAATTTCCTTTTCTTAACGGATGCGTGACGCCAGACGGGGATAATTCCCAGTTTTTAACTTTTTAAAGGATTTTGGTTTCAAGTATAAGATGATGGTGCCTTGAACGCCAAAAATCGCAACAAATATCCTAATTTTATAACATTATCAAATTTTCAAACCGACTGGAATTTCATTTAGAAATTTACTGAAATCTTTAAGATTCAGTATGGCTTCCTGTCATATTTTAGATATCTTCCTGGAAAAAAAAGATCATAAGATCATACAGTGGTTAGTTATATTAACTGTCCCAATAAAATCTTAGATCCCACCCTTCTCACAACCAGCTTACCAATAATTTTCATTTACCTTTCTGCTGGTTTAAAAGATAAGCTAGTACAAGAGATTATAAACTGTCCGATAATATTGACAAAATTAATCACACTAATAACAATTATGATAAAAGCAATCAAAGTTTCAGTAACAATGATAATGACCATGACGACCATGATACTATAGATAAAATCATGAGTAAATTGTCCGTGATGTAAATTTGGTAAGGTTTTTCAAAGGTAATCTCCAGCTTACTGTTGCTTCTTTGGAGAAGCACAAGGAACAACACTCTAAGGGAATCTTAGCTTACTCGATATTAATTTTGTTGCAATCAATTTTTGGCATGTGGCAGAAATGTCTTCAATATCATCGATGACATCACCATCTGTTATTGTAATGTCGAAGTCTTCCTTGTCAACTCTATCAAAGACGTCATCGCCTGTCGCGTCAATGATAGTGTCTTCAAATGCACTGGCTACGTCATCTATGATATCATCTCCTTTGTCTTCCATGATAATACTATCAAAGACTACTTCGTTTGTCACGTCATGGATATCGTCATCAAATGTACTCGCTAAGTCCTCTATGATTTCATCTGCTTTGATGTCTCTACCTTCCTCACAAAAATCAGTTAGACAGACCACATTTAGAATAACGATGACATCATCAGCTTCTCTACTTAATTCCACGTCAGGAGTAATGACATCGTCAATTACTCTGTTGTCGTCATCTTCACAACCCCAAGCAGGTAAAGAGCATCATTTTGTTTCTCTGTACTCAATATTGATTGAGTATATTGTGTTATAGGATTGTTTGCAACTGCACTTGGCTTAATGGCCAAATCATTAAAGTATATCGAGTTGATAGGACTGTAATTAATGGTTCATTTCACATTGAATGCTGAGTTATTAGGTCTTGAGACTGAAACTGACCTAAATATCACAGTAAAGAGAACTAATGCGTAGGATGATACACGAGTGAAATCAGCGAGCTTTCCTCGAAACAAATTCACGTACGTTCGCCTAAGTTCTGTTCAAAGGCATTGATCTAAGGCAGCAACCGTTATAAGGACCTTCAGCGTACAAAGCCTTTGAGCAGGAAAGTGAAAATCACGCAGTTTCTATCCCTCGCTTAAACAGCCTGTAATATCTCACCTGCTACATTTGGAGTTGTGTGAAAGGTTTTTATAAAAGAATGGCACTTCTAAAAGACGGGTGTAATTTAGTGTTCCATGATATTTATTTATCTATTTATCAAGAATTTAATCGACTTATTTACTTATTTATCTATCATTGATTTATTCATTCACTTAGTCATCATTTCAGCCCTTTATTCCGAGAAGTAAGCTGGGAAGCCTCGGCCTCGTGCCCTTGCTTAGTTTTCTAAACTCATTTCAAAAACTCTTAACGTGAGGGAAGGGGAACCAGAACAATAATGATTTGACTCGATGAATCGTCGTGTACCTTTTTTTCTCAGACTGCACGGGCGGCTGGTATCGATATAGAACTGGATGTATTCGATTTTTTACCCAACCTAAAACAAGAGCAGATGCAAATTCACACTGTAAGAGTTTCATGACTTCTTACAATGAAAAAGGAGGTCTGATTAAGATCCCGTCCGTTGAAGACAATGACCAAGTTGTTAGCCTTGCCCCTCAGAATGGTAAGTAGAATGACAAACAAGCAGAAATGATTTGAAATGATTGCTTTTTCTTCTCCGTTACTGGCAGGTCAGTGTTATACTTGAGTTTCAGTTGCCGGAAAATTAGTCACAACTTTTCAACGTATACTTAAAACAATGATGCCATAAAATTCCTGCTATTTACAGCTGCCAAAAAATCTCATACTGTATAAAACTTTCAATAAGAATGTTTGAATGTAAATGTTTTAATACGTTCTACCATTTATCATGAGATAAAAGTAGTTTTCAAAACTCTCCCAAAATCTTTAAAACGTGAAGCGTGATGTGATATTTTGTGTCATTCAAGAGAGATCGTTTCCTTTCCAATGTGGCAAACTTTGGTTATCATTATTTAACGTCACTCAGTTCAGGGGACATAATAACCTTATCAATTGCACAAGAGAAAATCTCTCATTTTCTGTTTAGCAGTTGAGTCTGACACACATTCTTAATGCTTGTTAAAAAGAAACTTTTACCTGTATGGTGCAGAGGAGCAGAGAACACGTCATCTCATTGGAATGTGCTGCTCATAAAATCAATCACTGTAGAGTAACCTTGCAACGTGGAAATGTGTGATGTGTGATTAGCTCACTCAAATTTATTTTAACTTGGTTGTCTGGTAGTGTGGAAGTGTGGAAGTGTGGAAATCTGGAAATATTCAAATTAGTCTTTACCTTACTCACATTTATCTCAACTTGGTTGTCTGGAAGTGTTGTAGTGTGGAAGTGTGGAAATCTAGAAACATGCAAATAAGTCTATATGCAAATTAGTCAATCGTCTGCCATCTTGGATTTTGAACTTCTCGCAAATATGCGGCTTGGAACGTTAAGTGATCGATCAAGCTCTCTATCGCTACATTATAAACAGAACCTCTATTTATGGGTAATTTTAAGCTATGTACGCTGAAGTCGAACAGATTATTTTCAACAAAGCAAAGTCACGCGCGGCAATAACTTTATCTTTTACAGCTGTTTGGGGTGAGTTAATTGCGACAAAGCTCCTTTTAAAAGGTTTTTTCGATTTTAACAGAGGCATTTATAAGAACTATGCTTAGAGCCCAGAAAATACAATCTGAGTGAATAAATGAGTCTTGATCGATGTATGTGGCTACAAGTTGTGTTGTATCTGAACAAACATGCGTAAAACGACAGTGCCTCACAATTCGTGGCTCGTTTTAACTTCTTGTCGTGATATGCATATCAACACTTCAGTAAATTACACCGTATGACTTCTGAGCACACAAGAATTGGCCAATAGTCTCATAAATTATACATTTAAATCAACATTAGCCACTTTTTCCTGAATTTAGCCGAAGAAAAAGTAACAAAACAATTTATAATTAAGCATAAATGTACTAAAATGTAACTTGTAAATTTCTTTACGCTGGTGCGGAAAGAAGGAAATAAAATGAAGAAATTTATTTGGGCGCAGACTTGAACCTTTCAAAAGCAAAGCGAGATGCATTATTTTGAAAGGCAAACATGGCACGACAAATTTAAGTTTACCAGGCGCAAAACCGTTGATTTGCATATTTCCAGATTTCTGCACTCCCATACTTCCACACTACCAAGTAGACAAATGCTAGTGAGGTAAAGACTAACCTAGTTGCGTATTTCCAGATTTCGACACTTCCAAACTTCCACACTAACAAGTTAAGATAAATTTGAGTAAGGTAAAGACTTATTTGCATATTTTCACACTTCCACACAACCAGGTTAAGATTGATGTGAGTAAGGTAAATACTTATTTGCATATTTCTAGATCTCCACATTTCCACACCTCCACACTACCAAATTAAGATACATGCGAGTAAGCTAATTACACATCACAATAATCACAGGTCACTCTAACGTGATTAATTTTATATGCAGCACATTCCGTTGTGATGACGTGTTCTGTGCTCTTCTACCCCAAATAAAGCCAAAACTGTGCTTAAAGAAAAATATTTTATTTTTCACAGTTAATTTGAGAGGTTAAAATTAATCACTAATTAAAGTATAGGATAAGTAAGCTTCAAAAACTAAACAATTTTCATCTCCGCCTTCTTTTAAACCCATAGAACCATAATACTGACCCCATTTTTAAATTCTAATGAGTACCCTAATCAGTCGAAAGTTTGATTACCGACGTCGCCATTTTAGACATGGGTGGCATGTCCGCCTAACCTTGACTTAACAGTTCACAACAAGGCTGTGAACTGGAGCATAAGTTGAATGAAATCTTGGACAACCGTAACCAAGGCATTATCTGATTGAGACCGTTATGTTTTGGCTCCTGTCATTTGAGTTCGATTCTCTAGTAATAGCCGTTCGGCCAGGTTACGAAGCTGTTTTTTAATTGACGGCGTTTGTTGTTTGCACATTTGACCTGAAACACGGAGTTACAATTCTGATCTCAAAACGTAGTAACCAGTTCTTGCTTGTGGCACATGCTCTCAAGGGCGGAAAAAGAGAATCGCTTCTTTTCTTGCAGTTTGTAATTTCTTGGTTTTCAGGGAATTAGAATGGAGAGGAAAAGTGTAAGAAATAAGAGGAAAGTTTCAATTAGTTTTGCTGTCCACTCACCCAATACGGATTTAGTCACTTCCTCAAAAGCAACCAATTACAAAAGGACCTTTATATAACTCTTCAAGCGAAAAGTTGAGCCATTTATTAATACGATATGACTAAAACTAACTCAGAACGTTTCAGTCTTCATTTTAATCTGAGGTAAGTTTCTAAAGAAACTATGATGCTGCGTCGGTGGGAGAGCTAGCAAGTCAATTTGGTATTATCAACTGAGTTGATTACGTAAATTTGCCACCGTTAGGAGTTCAAAGTTGACTTTACGAGCGTTAGCCCTTCGTCAGAGCTAATGCATTATTTCATTTTTATCGATTCCTTTATCTTGTTTTCACGGCAGGAAAATACTATATTGGTCTGACAGACACGAATCAAGAGGGTGTATATCGCTGGAAATGGACCACAGATGACGCTACTTATTTCAACTGGGAGTCAGGCTATCCTCAAGCGACCAACATTGAGAAAGATAGAGACTGTGTTGTAATATCAACTCATACCGATAACTCTTATAAAAAGTGGTCCACTGTGCACTGCACTAACAGCTGGAGGTATATATGCGAGTGTAAAAGTGCGTGCTCTTAGTAGTAATCGTCGCTCCAAAGGTTAATCTTATGTTTTGTTTAATACTTTCTCCAAATCGCATGCACTGTAGATAGAGTTAGTGAATTTATCGTCATCGAATAAGATATTGCCGGCTATTGTTAGAGTGTCTCTTTCTCTCCTACCTCTAAATCTATCCCTCTCCGTGTTTCTTCACTTGATTGAGCTCTTTTGTAGCGGTGAATTAAACCTCCATGCCAACAGATACGCTCGTCAAAGTGCTACATTACGCATTATGTTTATTTCTGGAACCTTTCGGAAAATCCCGAAAATGTACGAACAGTTGAGGCGATTTTGGGGTATTACATTAGCAAAAAAGTTAATCTTTAAATTTACCTCTGACGTCTTTGATGCACATTGCTCTGAACACTTGCAACCGTTAATGATTTGGGAAAACTACAAATGTTTCCCTTGAACTAGTCATTCCATGCGATGATTGTGACAGAAAAACTGAGCTTTACGTTCTGAACATGCTAACATCTTTACTTTATCTTTATACAATGAATTTTGTCAAATAATGGACAAAAATACTTCGTGATTGCTAACATCGGCACTTTGAGTGCGATGCTCAGCAAGTTTGCTCGATAATTCCGAAAGGTATCTTGTGAGTGTTTCGGCCGACTTTGTTTTGTTAAGTATTTGAATAAATCGTGGTTTAACTGAAGGTGTCTTTGTTCAAGAGTGGGGGAGATAAAAGTTTGTCACAAATAGACGTGAAAAGTATTCCTTTTTCAAAATGGATGGGATGTCTGAATAAAAATCAGAAAAAAAATTGAAAATCATCATCAGTAAATTTGGAAAATTTATTGATAGATGGTATTACCCCTCTCAACTTTCACTACTTATGATACGAATCATTTTTCATTACCAGCGCGGTGTCATGTGATACTATGGAACATCTCAGAGTTTTGCTGGCATATTAAGTTATGCAGTGTTCGGTTCGTCTTTCGCTTCCAATTGCTTTTTTGTTTTTATGATATTTTTTTAGGTGATTTTCTTTTAAGAAACTCCAATTTTGAATACCCTGACTCTTGCCTTTCTTGTGGAGAGAGTTTTGATGCTGTTATAAAAGAGGATATGAACTTGTATTTTCAGAAAGTCACTCGATAAAGTCAAAATCGGTTTGCAACGGTTAGTTGTTTGTAAACGTTTGGGTTCCTTTCTGGAATGTTTCTGAAGGATGATAATTGCAAAACCTTCGAGTTGCCTCGGCGGAAAATACGCTTGTGTTAATGCCTGACATTGTTTGCTTCTGGGAACAGGAAATGGCTGTGAACAAGAGATTATACCTTGCCGGAGACAAAATCCCAGCTTATTTTTCTGTGAGTTTAGGCTGTTGTCCATATACCTCACACGTTAGTAGAGCTGCTGGATTGTTAGCACAAAGTTCATTCTGCCGTACGATTCGTTACGGTTAGCTGAGAGGCAACTTCCTCTACGTACTTGGCTGTACTTCAATACTGAAAATACTAAAGAATCCAACAAGTTTTGGTTTCGGCATATCATGTTATCTTTTTTATCCTCTCACTCCAGAGCTTCAAATAATAACTCTCTGCAATGTCTGCCATAGATTTCTTGAAATATCAACCTGAAATGTGGTCATAAATCAAATACGCGCCACAGGGTATGTTGTTTGAGTAAGTATTATAATATACATATATACATAGAGAGTTAAAAAAAGAAGAGAGTCAAAGAAGAGAGTTACTTCCCCCGAAGTAGCTAAGTGGGTTTTAAATAAAGAAGCGAGACAAGGAGTTGCGTTTGGAAACATCAAAACGCACAAAACAGGCGACCCGCTTAGACTTATTACATCTTGTTGTGGAACGGCAATTGAAAACTTATCGGCCTTTACTGAATTTTGTTTACAACCACTTGCCCGCAAATTACCATCGTTTATTAAGGACACCACTGATCTGCTTAACAAAATAGAACATCTTAACAAAAGCGGCCCCTTTCCAACTGGCACCTCACTGGTCTCGTGGAACGTGGTTTCAATGTTTTTTAACATTGATAACAAACTCGGCCTCACTGCAATAAGGAAGGCTTTGAATGCTAGAGAAAACAAATTTCCATCCACGACTTGTATTTTAGAAGCTGTAAAAATTTGTTTGAAAAGCAACCATTCTGTTTTTAAAGAGAATTTCTTTCTTCAAATCCATGGCACAGCTATGGGTCTAAAGAATGCTTGTAGCTATGCCGATCTAGCCATGGGCGAAATTGATCTCAAAGCTAAGTTTTCTCGTCCGATAAAGCCGTCCTTATGGTGGCGATATCGAGACGATGTATTTGATCTTTGGCAGCAAGGCCTTCCTGTCCTACATCAATTTACTGATTACATTAATTCTCTGTACCCTACCATTAAATTTGAGTTAGTTTTTCTGAGCGTGAGCTTCACGTACTTGATCTTACTTTATACCTTATCGATGGATTTATTAGGACAGACGGCTATTCCAAACCTATTCCAAAGTAGATAGTCACTTATATCTTTCACCTTCTAGCTGCCATCCTAAGCATGTTTTCAAGGCTACTACTTTTGGAGTAGCCACAAGATTGAAAAGAAATTGCTCTGAAGAAATTTTTCTTGCCGAGAGAACAGCTGAGTACAAAGAGTAGCTCGTCAACCAGGGCTATCCCTCTAAATTAGTTTCGGATCAATTTTCGAAAGCCTTCGCCATTCCTATAAATGATTTACTTAGGACTCGTGGAAAAGAAACGAAGAAATCATTTCCATTTGTTATCGCATTTAATCCAAATTTACCCGACGTAGGCAACATAATCAGAAAGCATTTGTTCATTCTACAATCAAACCCCAAATTAAAAGAACTTTTTCCTCGAGGTGCTATCATACCATCTTTTCGTCGGTCAAAAAATCTCAAAGAACTATTAGCACCATCCCGTTTTAAAACTGTCAACGAGGGACCAACAATTCATCACATCAATGGCTGCTTCAAATGCGATAGGAATAGATGCGACCTCTGTCGAAACTTCTTTGTTGAATCTAAGTCATTTCTTAGCTTTCAGACGGGCAAAAAATACTCCATTCATTCCAGACTTTCTGTTATTCTAAAAATGTGATTTATTTGGTTTCTTGCAAGAAATGTCGCTTGCAATACGTGGGATCTACCACTACCGACTTTAGAATTAGGTTTTGTTACCACAAATCTGCTATACTCACAAACAAAACAACTTGTGAAGTAGCGATACATTTTACCAGAATTCCACTTACCCTAGGTGATTTTTCGTTTCAATGTATTAATCAGGTGCAGGCCCCAAGCGGCTCTGGGGAGATCGCTAGGCTTTTAATTACGAAAGAGGCTTATTGGAGTGCTCAGCTGTTCGCTTTGGCACCCTATGGTTTAAATAAAAGAAAGGAATTTCTTCGAAAAACAGAATTTGCTATAACTAATTTTCCATCCCATATTATTCATTGTTCGTTTCAGGAATCTGGTAATATCAGATCAAGATAATAACTTTGAGTATTCTCATTACCTGTGTAATGGATAAGGTTTGGATGTTATAGTCACGTTAATTTTCTGTTACTTCTGGAAGTTGAAGGGTCAAAGCGGCAGTGAGAAATTCAATTTATTTCGTGTTACAGTCTGTTACTTTTTTTCTGGTACTTTACAATTTGCAAAGTTCTGAACTAGATCTTACTTTAAATTCATAAACTAATTGATACTGACATGTACCTACAGGTGAAGTGTAGAACTACAGATTGGAGCTTTTCTAGAGCAAGATTCACATGATTGTCTCAATATGTTTAAACATATTGAAACCACAAAATCATGGGACACTCATAAATTTATGAGTGTCCCATGATTTTGTATTTGACTTGTATTTTTGGTGGCCGGTAACCTGTAAGCAACTCTTGTATAATTTGAGGGTAAATATATTGACTTCAGTCGTTAATATTCAAGTGTCAAGGGTCACGCCTCAAAAATATCTGACCATTTACATTACCCTGGTATTTGCTGGTTGCTTAAGTGTGTGTTTGGTTGCTCAAAATCAGAAAAAAATGGCCAAAATTTGTTTTATTAATGGAATTGTTTACTGATTTGAAGAGTGCACAGTTTTTGAGTGGTGTATGTTACACAATACTTTTCATTTGACATTCCTAACAATGCAAAAATTCCAATTATTTAAATTGATTAGAGAGCCTTATCTCTTGGAGTTGAAAATTGTTTTTTTAAAAGAACAATTTCATAAAATCACACAAAATCTAAAACATATGTTTTTCATCAGCGATTAAACAAACCACCCAAAAATGTTGTGCAAAAAGATATGATCAACTTGCGATTATCTGTTCTCTGTGCTAACACTTTGATAAATAAATGTTACGGGACTCTTTCATAGAGCATCTCAATTAGGGTAAAACTCTTGAGTTCAAGAAAGTTTTCATGAAAAACAACACTTGCCCATTTTTCCTCATGATCATCCATAAAAAAAACAACTCCACTCACGACAAAAACAAAAAAAACAAACTTGAAAATTTCATATGAAAACAACTACTACCTTCATTGATAACCTCTGAACTTAAAGAAAGTCAAAACATAAAGGAGTGAAGATAAACATTTCCTTCTCAGATCAATAATCCAATAATCATTTTAGAAGTATCACACATTTTTGAGAGCAACAAGCTGTTTGAGTTTATAGAGAAAGACAAACATAGACTCCTGCAGTGATGAGCAATTCAAAATTTCAACCTGGCACAGTTATGACAAAAAACTTAACATTGAAACATTTATGAACATGCACAACACAAGCCAAGATCTGTGTTTTAAATGATCTTGCCAAATATTGTATACAAATGAACAAATTGACTGCATATGGATAAAAAGTCTTTACACCCTAACATCAGTATGCATATTCTCTTTACTGTTCTCTATGCATTTCCTAAGGGCTGGCAAGGAGAATTTCTTTAACAATCAAGAGGTTCTCTAATTGATTATCATTTCCTTTATTCTCATGACCTTAATTTTTGATTCAGGGGTGATATTCAAAGGAGAAATTACCAGTAGATGCTTGTCACTCTCAGGGATTAAAGGATTAAAGAAGGGTACCAAAAGTAATAAGAATGGAAAAAAGAACATTCTGGGGAAAGCAGTAAACACATACAGTATATATACTTGAGTATGTATGAGAGAACATCACAAGTACGAATCCGAAGGTTATAATTTCAACTCTGAAAATTCAGAGTGCTTTGAGTCTGAGTATGAATGCAATGATGAATACATCATTTTTCACATAAATAAGTGTTCCTGTAATCTTGGATATTTAAAACTAAGAATCAAATGAGCATAAAATAGTTACAGGGTGAGGTCATGTTACAGTGATATTGTGCATATCATTTATTTCATTCTTTGTGCTAAAAGACGGCATTAGTGGGGACTGGACAAAAGTTGGAACGTAGTCCTGTCTCCCCCTCCAGTTGCTATTTGCTATTTATTGGGGAGAATTCAAGATTTCTTTTTTTCCATTGCAATAGTGCTGAGTGGTGTGCAATGAAAATGCGTGACCAATTGAGAGTATTCATTGAATTCTTTCAAAAGTAATTACAAGTTGAAGTATAACTTGCATTGTTTAAAAAATGAAAAGGTAATGAAAAAAATAGCGAGCATCACACAATAAAAAGTCTGAAATTGTGAGAAAATCTCCACAACACCCACACGGGAGGGGGGGGGGTGTTGCGGATATGGATCCTCCCTCTAGATCCGCTGCTGAATCCAGTAGAGTTTTTTTTTCTCTTTGGACCTATTCCCCACTTACCGGTGACTTATTATCCCGGGTTGAAGTGGACAGCCTAACAGACTGACTACACGGTGCTTTTCGCTAGCAAAGACATTTACAGAACGAAAGATGTGAAGCATCTGCAGTGATGGTAAGACTAAAGAATGCAAAAACTATTGATAGGATTCAAACCTCAACTGGTTTCGACTCGGCCTTTATGCTCACAGTCAACTCAGCCGTGGCCGAGGTCAGTGAGTTGGGCAATCTGCTAGCTGCAAAAACTATCATCCAAACGGTAATAGGAAGATGCAAGGCTTGGATTCTTTCTGGCTTGAACTTGCATGGAACAAGTGTGTTGATCAGAATGTGTTTCCATTAATGTATCCTTTTGTTATAGCCGCTGCTGGAGAGGAAGGAAGGAAGTGTTTGATGAGAAAAATTGAGCTGAGGAAACTTATCGGTGAAAACGTTCCGCCTAACATTGTAAAGTTCATGGGCTGCGTTACGACACAAAGTAAGTACTAAGCGTACAGCATCTTTTCTAGGTATATGTTATTAACGATACTGCAAATACTGAATGGACCGTCTTAGGACCTGTTAACATGAGTTCCGTAACTAAAATGTTAATAGAATGAAGTTGTCTTTTTTTGTGAGGCAGCCAGTCTGTTTTTCTTCGAGAGCGTGTATCCATCGACAGTTCACTGAGATCACGGTCTGATAGCCTGAAATCTCGTTAACGGGGCTAACCAGCTTTTCCCTTTAACCTATGGACATTTTTGAAAATATATTCTCATAAGGGTAAATCCCAAAGAATGAGTCCTTTCTGTAGGCCAAACTGCTCTACGAAGAAAGACATCAGTAATGTTTTTTTTGTAAGGAGCCTTGACATGGTGTTTATTTGCTTTTCCTTTGTTTAACATCACTTAAGTTTTCCCTATACTCCTCATGGAGTACACACCATGTGGTCACCCACTTGGTTACCTGAGAAAATGCTGGTGAGGGAAGAGCTCCGGATTTGACCAACTACGATCTTGTGCTGTTTGCCAAACAAATCGCCGCCGGTATGGTGTTCCTTGGATCACGACGGGTAAGAGGAATACTTGTCACATGTCAATTATAATAAAGTTCGGATATAACGCGTGCTGTCATTGGCTGAAAGAGCGTCCTCTAAGAGAGTATAGAGCATAAAGCTGAGTTAAAGCTGTCACGCCATCTGCAAAATTGTACTATGTCTGACCTTTTCCGGGACTTCTTTCGAGCTCTTTTTCGTTAATTGAAAGTGAAATTTCGGAACAAGCGAGCCGGCAAGTAACAACAGATGAACCATACAAAGGTTTGGAAACATTCCAGGTGCCGTAATTGACGTCATTATAACGTGAGCAGAAACGAAAATTCTCAAAGAGAAAACGAAATGGAGGGTCCGAGTTTTAAAGGTTTTCGAGATCGGTTAGATTGCAAGCTTATGTACGTTAATAAAAATCAAACATAGCTAACACTCGTATAGTAAGTAGAGTTTCGTGATAAAAAACAAAACAGGAATGATAAAAAAATATAACCAAACTGGCATAACTGTTAAAATTCATACTAATCATGCCGGTGTCCGAGCGACTGCGATCACGCTGAGATCCATCGCGGCTAGCTCATCATGGCAATCTTCGGTTATCGCAGTGAAGCAAACCTCAGGAACTACATCGGCCGCCCTTCGAGTGAAAAAATAAGAGCTTGCTCTGATATACTTTCCGATGCCCTTTTATCTCGAGTGATCTTTATGTTCCGGTGAATTCGGCTGCCGTTCATTCATAAAACACTCGCCTTGAACTGTTTGTTTTCTACGTGTCACGTGAAAAAACTTGCGTGTTTTTATGAGCCACAACTCGGCCGAGTTTCACTGAACATTTCGCTTTCAGATTCTGTATTAGAGACCAAAAATCAGGCAAAAGTGTTAAATTCGACCTGCCGAACTATTTAAGTTTGTAAACTATTTCAGAATGTGAACTTTTTGGTTTGACATTTTTGACAGCTTTAGTCTTGTACAGCCAATCGGTTTATTTGAACCATTGTAGCGTGCTTTATGAGGGTATAGAGCATGCTGACGACGCTGTTGTTCGCTTTGGAGATAGAGTTTGTTTTGAATATTGAAAGTAATGCTTGGGAGTTTGCTTGGGGAATTTAACGGATTTTTTTTTATAAAACAAATAGAGAAGCCTTGACTGTGCTCTTTCCTGTTGTAAAGCACGCAGGAAGCGGCTAGAGCACTCAAGAAGTGGGGAGAAACACTCGACTACTTACATTTGTCAGTGATTTTGAATAAGATAAACCTCTAAGACTTTTTTAGCCTTGATGTTTTT